AAAGAAAGAAAGAAAGAAAGAAAGAAAGAAAGAAAGAAAGAAAGAAAATGCCAAACCTGGAGTGCCTCGGTGGCTTAGTCAGTTACACATCCAACTACTGATTTTATCTCAGGTCATGATCTCATAGTTCATGGGATTGAGACCCATGTCAGGTTCTGTGCTAACAGTGCGGAACCTGCTTCAGATCCTCTGTCCCCCACTCTCTCTGCCCCTCCCCACTCATGTCTGTTCGTTCTCTCTCTCACACACACAAAATAAACAAACTTTAAAAAACTTTTATTAAAAAATGCCAAAACTAATTAATTTAAACCCTATAATACGTAATTGATAACTTTTCCTTTGGAATACTGGGCTGCCCAGAGTTGCGCTCTGTGCTGATAGCTTGCAGCCTGGAGCCTGTTTCAGATTCTGTGTCTCCCTCGCTCTCTCTCTCTTCCCTATTCCTCTCATGCAGCCCCTCTCTCTCTCAAAAATAAACATTAAAAAAATTAATATGTATATTAAATATATATGGGAATTTAAGTTTAGAATCCATTCTAGTCATGAGCCTCTCCAAATCTTTTTTTTTTAAAGTTTATTTATTTTGAGAGAGAGCACACGGGGGAGGGGCAGAGAGAGAGAATCCCAAGCAGGCTCCACACTGTCAGCACAGAGCCTGTTGTGGGGCTCAATCTCACGAACTGTAAGATCATGACCCAAGCCAAAATCAAGATTCAGATGTTTAACCAACTGAGTCACCCAGGTGCCCCCAAATCTTTTTTTTAAAGTAGCAGAAGAATTTTACCAAAACTTGACATTCCTTAAAAATATAAAATTACAGACCAATAGCACTTAAATTAATGGACACAAAACCAATAGATCTCAAATCTTGCAATTAAATAAATAAGGTCTGAAAATGGAAATGACAAGTATAAATATTCATAGAAAATATATGTAAAGCAATAAAATGAACAGTAAATCAATTATTAAGAACAGTAAAATAATTAAGAAAGTGGAATTTATAAAATATATGTCTCACCTTAAATGACATATTAGACCTGTTGGATTTAATATATACAGAATATTCTATCCCAAAGGAGCAGAATATACATTCTCTTCAAGTGCACGTTACAGTTTTTGGTATAGACCATATGTTAGGCCACAGAACAAATCTTAATAAACTTAAGGAGACTGAAATCATATCAAGCATCTTTTCCTACCACCATGCTATGAAACTAAAAAGGAAAAGGGGAGAATTCACAAATATGTAGAGATTAAACAACATGCTACTCATGATAAAAACCCTCAACAAGGTAGGTTTAGAGGGAACATACCTCAACATCATAAAGGCCATAGATGAAAAGCCCATAGTCAACATCATCCTCAATGGGGAAAAACAGAGCTTTTCCTCTATGGTCAGGAACAAGGCAGGGATGTCCGCTCTCACCACTGTTCTTTAACATAGTACAGGAAGTCCTAGCCATAGCAATCAGACAACAAAAAGAAATAAAAGGTATCCAAATCAGAAAGGAAGAAGTAAAACTTTCACTATTTGCAGATGACATGGCATACTATATAGAAAACCCGAAAGACTCCACCAAAAATACTGCTAAAACTGATATGTGCAGTCAGTAAATTTCTGTGAGTTGATTTCAGGACACAAAGTCAATGCACAGAAATCTGTTGCAATTCTATGTACCAATAATAAAGTAGCAGAAAGAGAAATTAAGGAATCAACCCCATTTACAATTGCACCAAAAATAATAAGATACCTAGGAATAA